CTCAACGGGAGATGGTCTTCGGGAGCATCTTATCCCGGGAAAAGGGATGATTTTGGGGAGCAAAGATAGCCCTTATCCCGGGAATAGTCACCCGGGGGATGATTTTCGGGAGCACTGATATCCCTTATCCCGGGAAAAGATACCCGGGGGGTGATTTTAGGGAGCACTGATATCCCTTATCCCGGGATCATCCTTATCCCGGGAAGAGACACCCGGGGAGATGCTTTTCGGGAGCAAAGATATCCCTTATCCCGGGAATAGGCACCCGGGGGATGCTCTTCGGGAGGATAAGGATAATCCTTATCCCGGGAATAGTAACCCGGGAGATGCTCTTCGGGAGCACAGATATCCCTTATCCCGGGAATAGTCACCCGGGAGATGCTCTTCGGGAGCAAAGATATCCCTTATCCCGGGATCATTCTTATCCCGGGAAGAGACACCCGGGAGATGCTCTTCGGGAGCACTGATATCCCTTATCCCGGGAAGAGATACCCGGGGGATGCTCTTCGGGTGACATCCCTTATCCCGGGATCATCCTTATCCCGGGAATAGTAACCCGGGAGATGCTCTTCGGGAGCAAAGATCCCTCATCCCGGGATCATCCTTATCCCGGGAACAGTCACCCGGGAGATGCTCTTCGGGAGCAAAGGTATCCCTTATCCCGGGAAGATGCTCTTCGGGAGCAACCATATCCCTTACCCCGGGATCATCCTTATCCCGGGAAGAGACATCCCGGGGAGATGCTCTTCGGAGTGTTCCCGGGACCAGCGACACCCCACCCGGGCACGGACACCCGGGAGATGCTCTTTGGGAGGAACGACATCCCCACCTCGGGCGTTGATACCCGGGAGATGCTCCTCGGGGTGTCCCCGGGAGGGAGGAACGACCCCCCGACGGGGCACGGACACCGGGGGGATGCTCTTCGGGGGCAGCGACCCCCCCCCCCCCCGCCACGAGCCGCGTGCGGGGTGGGTTTCTTTTAAGTCGCGACAGAAAACTTGTCCCCCGGCTCGCGCGCCTTCCCCCGATTTCCCAGCTTTGGGGTTTTTTTTTTTGTGGGTTTTTTTCCTCTTTTTCATTTTTTCCGGCGGGGCGGCAGCCGGCGCCGCCCCGGGACCAGCGACACCCCACCCGGGCACAACGACATCACCCCCCCCGCCCCGGACCCGGGGGGACACTCGCTGCCCCGTCGGGGTCCCCGGGCTGCGGGGACAGGGTTGCGGGTGATTTTTGGGGCGGAGGGGGGTGGTGATGTCCAGCCCGGCCGCCGATTCCTGCCACCCCCACGCGTGACAGGCGCCCACGGAGCCCTCCGTGGGGTGGGGGTGGGTGTCCATCCCCGTCCTCCCCCTCCCTTACCGCACCTCGGGTGACTCTCCCGCAGCCTCGCGCGTGGATTTGGGGTTGTCGGGTGTTTTTTTGAGGTGGGGGGTGTGTGTGTGCGTGGGGGGGGAGCCAGGCGTGGGCACTCACCGGAGAGCGGAGAGCCGTGCATGCATCCACGCGTGACAGGCGCCCACGGAGCCCTCCGTGGGGTGGGGGTGGGTGTCCATCCCCGTCCTCCCCCTCCCTTACCGCACCTCGGGTGACTCTCCCGCAGCCTCGCGCGTGGATTTGGGGTTGTCGGGTGTTTTTTTGAGGTGGGGGGTGTGTGTGTGCGTGGGGGGGGAGCCAGGCGTGGGCACTCACCGGAGAGCGGAGAGCCGTGCATGCATCCGAGGAAGGAGGAGGAGGAGGAGGAGGAGGTGGCGGGAATAAGCGGCGCTGTGCGGCGGCGGGAGGAGGGAGGCGGTGATTGCGCGGGGCGCGGCGGCGGCCGGAGTGTCCCCCGTCCCCGCAATGTGCCTTTGTTTATGTGGGGGGCTCTCCGCCGCCACCAGCCAACGTGCGCCGCGAGCCCCCCGCGC